ATATAAATGAACGTGTCAATGTACTATTGCTACCGTAGTTTAAAAAAACAACAACTAATCATCCTAAAAAAAATTAAGTACATATTTTAGTACAAGCTGAATTTTGAATCATCTCAATAATTATTTAGTAGAAACGTAAAATGGTCATTAATTTAAATAGTACCAAATAGATGTAAATATTCGTGCTTAAGAAGTATAAACCAAAAGGAAAAAAGAAAATTCAATTTTGACTTAAAAACAAAGACGAATTTTTTTTGTTTGTACTAGCTGATTTAACGTTTCAGCTTTGCAATATCTGAATTTGAAACGATTTTCGTCATTTTTCATACAATTCTAAGAACTTGGAGAATCTGCAATTGAAAATTTATGTTATCATTTTAACTTTTAAAATAAATATATAATAAGCGGCAACAAAAACTGTAATTATTACAACTTTGAAAGTCGTGTTTTTGCTAAAAACCAGTTTAATTTTTTTCTAGGTTGAGTAATTGTTGAAAAAAGTCAGGGGTAATACTAGAGTATAATATATATGTGCAATGAAAGGGGGGAGAGAGAGAGAGAGAGAGAGAGAGAGAGAGAGAGAGAGAGAGAGAGAGTGGGGAGAGAGAGATAGTGAGAGTGAGAGAGAGAATGTGAGAGATTGAGAGACAGCGAGAGTGGGAGTGAGAGAGATAATGTGAGAGATTGAGAGAGAGCGAGAGTGAGAGTGAGAGAGAGAGAGAAAGAGAGAGAGAAAGAGAGAGAGAGTGAGAGAGATGGAAAGAAAGAAGCAGAATAAGAAAAACAGAGAATCACAGATTGAGATTAACTGGAACTCAAATTATTTATTGATTTGGTCTGAACGATCGATCTTGTTACATCTTTACAATAAAATAAATTATTGTGTGTAAGTATCTTTATACAGTCGCACATTATTTTATTATTATTATTATTTTGTATTTTTAACTTGACAAAATAAGAATAAAATAAAGTAATACGTTTACAAAACAATACATAAAAAAGAAGAAAATTAATGCAGTATAAAAATAATATATAATCCACATTTAAAAATTGGGTTTTACTATCTGGTTTAGTATACAAAGTTTAAACATTTAAACTTTCTTTATTAATGTTTTTTAAATTTTAATTTAAAACTTTTAACCCTTGTAACATTTTTTATTTCTTTTGGGATTAGTACCTAAACTCTCTAAAAACTATACTGAAAAAGGGTTATTTAAATTCATAGTTGTACGCTTCGTAAGCGCTGAGTTTTAAATCTAACATTAGTAGGGTGGAATCGGGTGAAAATTTTAATTTTTCGTATCAATACTTAGGTTGTTAGTTTTCACCACTTCGAAAATTATATACACTATAATCTATAAAATCGTCAAATTTAAGATTTAATATAATGCACATAATTAAACCTCTTTCAATTAAGTTGTTCGTAAACTATTCGTGTCACAAATAAACTAATGTACATGTGGGAAAGTTAGTGACGTTACTAACTCCTTCCGAATTTGATTATTAGAAAATACTAACTTTTTAAATCTAAATTTTGTAACATGCATCATATTCTTTATATGTAAAGCTCGAGGTTAGCATAGGAGATAGTTGTGAAGCTATAATCGAAGTGAGAGGGAGAAAGAGTGAGAGGAAGGGAGAAACCCATAAGTCGATAGAACAGGCAATTACAAAAGAACAACGTGAAGAAACAAGGAAATTATTTCAACGTCGGCGGTGAAATGTAAAGGAAGTCAATATTAACTTATGGAAACTTGCAAAGTATAGAACACCAAAGAGAACTAAAGCACATAAAAATATAGTAGGACAAATTTATTAATTTAGAAGAATGACTATTAAGAAATTTGCCTATCTGACATGAACTATTCGAAAAAAAAAAAAAAAACGTGCACGCAGGTGCGTGCTAACGAGCAATAAGGCATTGGGCAGACATGGAAGGACAAAGAACGTTTATCACAAAACAAATTCTCTTGACCGTATGTATGCCATAGTAATTTTCCAAATCCATCTTTTACATGTTTTGTTTGTATATTAAAATGTATGTTAAAATATAGCAATATAGGGTTAATTCACTGACAGGAAAATAATTTCTCCCAATTGATTTTTTTTTCATTTTCTCGATAAAAGAAAATTCTGCCCTTAATTTGTCTCATTGTATTATATTTGTTTATGCTATGTTTTAAATTGGGAATATCAATTAGACGTAAACACATTTTAACCTTAATCTAAAACAAGGATGATGGATTTTCAATGCTTAATTTTTACGGAATTAAAAATGTTTATTTCATGGTTTATGGCTATAAAGCCAATACCAAAAAAAAGTTTATTCAGTCTCATTTGAATTCTGAAGGAATAAACTGTTGTTTTCCATTTTTGTTTTATTAATTTGAAATGTTAAATGCTACTTAGTGCTGAGGATGTTGCGCGTGGTGTGGCTCTTATTGATGATGGATCCGTCAGGTATGCGGCTATTTCAATCGGAATTGCCCACGAAAAACTGCGAGACGCCGTTAGACGTTTTTGAGAAACTGGGTCCTACCATTGAAGGCACAGTTATAGGCCCTAGGGTAACAGACCGTTTTTGACTGAGAATTTCGCGAAACCAGCACCTTACTGTTGTTCAAGCGATTCATCAGCTCCAGGATGTTCGAGGCGTCAAATTTCTGAACGCTCTGCTCGAAGTAGATTAAATAAATATGGACTGATGGCTTTTCACCCCGTAAGAGGACCAGAATTGACCAGAACGCAAGCAGTTTCACGGCTCGCATTTGCTTAAGAACACAGCCATGTCTTTGGATGATTGGTCTGCTGTACTTTTTACAGATGAGTGTAGATTTGCTCTATGATCTCCAGTTGGGCGCGAAAGAGTGTGAAGGCGAAATGAAAGGTACGAAGCCTGTAAGTTTTCTCAAAGTCAACCTTTCCAACGCTCATTGATGATGTGTGCGGGAATTTCAACGGAGAGTCGCACAAAGTTGGTTGTTGTTCGTATAGGGTCTTTGACGGCCACTCGCTATGAGGATGAAATATTGAACCATCACGCGTTACCTATACTCTATGAAATCAGCGACAATCCTATTCTAGTGGACGATAAAGCACATCCACATCCCGCTCGCATAGTACTAGCACAATCGAACTTTCTAAAGTAAGTTCTTAGCCTTGCCAGTCCTGAACCCCAGCGAACATTTATGGGATAACATCAAAAGGCGAATAAGAGCACTTCCATCACTAGCTGATACACTCCACGATTTTGAAAGTACACTTCCTGAAGAATAGGCTAACTTCCGGCAAAGAGACATTTCCAGACTGGTAGAAAGTATGCTGAGGCGTTTTAGAGGTGTAATTAACGCAATAGGAGGAAATACGCAATATTGAAATGCTAATTAAAACAAAATTTATGCCTGACTTTTTTAATTTTTTAATTTTTCGTTATTCTTAGCAATTTACATTTATTTTTACTTTTTAGACAAAGATTCAATTATTAATCGTAAAACGTGAAACTTTGATTAATATATAAAAATATATAGAAATCAAGTGATATTATAAGTTGGCGGAATTTTTTTCCCGTCAGTGTATAACAGAAATAATATGAACTATAAAATTCTTTCAAAAAAAGCGAAGAAAAGCTTTCAAACCGGTGCTAGATCAAATATTATCATATTTGACGGGAGTTTTGTCTAGTTTTATATATCTATATTCTTATTGAAAATTCTTGTTGGCTTGATAATAAATTACCTCTAACCTTCTTCTTGTCAGTCTGTATTTGTTCATGCGGGACACAATGCGGGTTTTGGCTTCAAAAGTAGTCGTGTTAACCGTGTATGACTTACGTTGAGTCGAGGGTCGAGCGAAGCACTTTTCCTACTCTGAAGGATTATCTTCTCCCTTAAATTTAAAGGCAAACAATAGTTTCATGAAATACAAAATCTGTCTTTGTTTTTTTTAAAATCTTGTATTCTATTTGTATTAATTCGATTTTAAATTATTTATTGAACAATTCATTCTGTTTGGTTTAATCTGAATCCACTGTGAAGAACGGCTTCATTTATACAAACTAGTCGTGGGATTTCTGGCCGAGGAGATAGAGGCGAAGGGATTGGTTTAAAGGTAATAAAAGTATCAGGGTTGTTTTCTCAGCAATCTACCCCTGTGTATCCGCCGAGGGTTGTTTCCGCCTGTGTCCTTTATCAAAGGAGACTGTCCGAAGTAAACAACTTCTTCCGTAGTTTGGGATTTGTTCTCCCTACATAATAAAAGAGCGTTGTCGCCCAAATAAGCGTTTATGTTAGGAAAATAACAATAATTGACATAATTATTTAATTAGATTGAGACCAAGGTTAATAATAAACTTATCTATACTTGTAATGTGGAAATTGTATCAAAAGAAATATAATTTTAAAAATCCTCCTGAAATTTTAAAAGTAAAAACCCATGTTAGTAAGTGATATTGAAATTTGAACTACCACGGATTTGGGGAATATGAGTTAAGATGTTATTTGGGCAAACAACAAATATTGGCTCAGCACCTAACTTTACAACCAATAGGCCAAGTTTGAACCGCCCGATTAATTTTAAGGAGCTATTATGTTCCAAAGGCTTATTTCAAGAATAGATTTTCTTAAATTTATATCAATTTGCAGTTAGAAGTTAGCATTAAATCGGTAATGTGTATCATTGAAAGTTACAAGTTTTGTGTTAGTTTAAAAAAAAAAATTCTGATTATATTTCCATAAAAGTGTCGCTATACTTTAAAGTAATAAAAATCTCTAATAGGAATGCCCTTTTCTTTGCTGTTTTCGTTTACTTTCCTCTTATATACTTTTATTTTTACGTTTGTAAACTTTTAAATATTTTATATCGATGTCTTTCAAAAACAACTTTACCTTTTTCATGTAAATTTTACATTGTTTTAGGTATTTTGTTTGTGCTATTCTTGCCAACTTGTGGTCATGTGATGACGAAATCTAACGGAAAAACCGCTCAAATTGACTTTTTTTCAGCCGATATGGAAGAGAACTGCACGGAATTTCTCGAGATCGGCCCTCCTCCGGATATGATCCTCACCCTGCCGCCACCCCCGCTGCCCAGCTACCTCCAGATAACTATGAACCACAGTTCAAAACCGTGCACATCCCTCTGCGACACACCCCTGCCGAACAACGGCGGCATACAATTCATTGAGCTTCCTCCGCACGGTAAGAATCAAATATGAACCATCAACCTAAACATAGCGAACTTGAGAATAAAAAGAAAACATACAATGGAAAATTTATACCCCCAGTCATGTAATATGTAATTTCTTTTGGAAAAAATTTACCTTCCTACAGAAATATGCTTGTGATTCCAACTTTTGTTGTCTGGTATTATGCTATTTTATAAATGTGAATCTCATCATTCTGAAATGTCTATTTATATAAGAACCCAATAAGTGATTGCCACAGGAGATTTTTCTTTTATTCTTTATCTGTTGAAGATAACGAGACTAAATTAAAATATTATAAATAATCTTTTTATGTAAGGTCTTGATTGAGTTGAAAAAGCTAGTGTCACGAGCAGAATTCGAACCCACGACCTTCGGCTCAATACGCCGCTGTTATAACCACTTCGCTATCGTGACTTCGATCCACTCGGACACCAACTCCCCATCTCGACCTAAAACCTTTCGAATTTTCTTTTTTTCCCCGCCATTTTTCAAATGTGGGTGCGAATCCCGCTCGTGACACTAACTTTTTCATTTCAATCAAAACTTAAATAAAGAGATTAATTAATTGAAAGATTTAATATAATGTCAATGTAATGTTATTCTTATTTGTATGTCTCATTTTATGTTTGCTTTACTTACATATTATGTTGTATTAAACCAAGCTCTTCTGTATGTCTTAATTATCTATAACAGTAATTATAAATAAATAAATTAAGGATTAATAAGTAGTCTTTAATACTGACGATGGCGAAAAACCGAATGAAAAAGCTAGTGTCAGGAGCGGGATTCGAACCCACGGCCTTCGGCTCAATACACCGCTGCTCTAACCACTTCTATTCTATCTCTAACCGCTGCTATTGTGACTTCGATCCATTCGGACACCATTGAAAACTGGCAAAAAAGAGTGAAAATTCGAAAGGTTTTAGGTCGAGTTAGGGAGTTGGTGTCCGAGTGGATCGAATACAGGATAGCTCAAGTGGTTAGAACGGCCGCGTATTGAGCCGAAGGTCGTGGGTTCGAATCACGCTCGTGATACTAGCTTTTTCATCTCACCCAAGACCTTACATAAAAAGAATAATTGAAAGAAGTAATTTGGTCAATTAGACCACTAAACATAATGGGATTATAAATATTATCTAGGAGTAAAGTAATCTCCCTTTCTCCTTACAGCTAACTCTCATCTCGCAACCACATAACTATAAATACACTTTTCCATTAAAAAACAAAACAAATATATAATTAGAAAGTGGCTCAAATAAAAAAGAAAAAGGAAGTTTTGCATGACAAATTAACATTGGTTGTATTTACATTTTGTCGTAAATAAGTGGCCTAGGGGTAAAAGCTTAAGGCTGTCCCTTCAAGAAGGAAACACGTCCCGTTATTTGTTCAGGACAAAAAGGAGTCGTTCCGTCCTTTTACTATCCACAGACTTGATGGACTGGAAGCCCGACTGTGCTTCCGAAGAAAACAAAATTTTCCAGCGTCTCTACAAGACGCGAGAAGGGTTTCCTTCTCATTCGAATATGCACGCTTTTAAACCAAGAGTCGTACATTTTTTAAGGTTGTATTGGCTATATATGGCACGCTTGATTTACCATAATTTTTTGCTTTTTAATATTAAGAGTTATTTTTACCTTTTTTTAATGTGTCAATAAAAATGACTACCGGTTCAAAAAAAGTGAAATTACAACAGAGTTCACTGTCCCCCTGTAATACTCCCAGATGGAGATTAAAGGAATCGAACCGTGAAATGCGACAATAAATCGTCCCCGATCTAAACCTTTTAAATCTTGTTTGAAATTAGCTGGAATAAGAGGATTGTCATTTTTCCACTTCGGCCAAGGGGCAAAATTAATTTCTTCCCTTTTACCTTCTTGTTCTTCTCCCTTTTATTGCTGACTCTAAACAATGCTTACAGAGTCTTGAAGAGTTTTAATTTATTAGCTTCAATAACCATTTTTGATATTGTACATTTATCGATTATTGAACTTGATATATCATAGATATAGAGTAGGAAAAAAGAGATACTGGCATTGAAATAAAAACGAGATAGAGAAAAAAAGAAAATCTTTCTTGCAGGAGTAATTAATCAAATTTTATTAATAGGAAGTCAATATGAAAAAATAATATTCAAACCAAGGGAGTATGATAAGGGTAAAAAGGTCAATCGTTCATATTTCAAATAAATCCTTGTTAAAATTTAAATTATATTACTTTTACAATATTTTAGGGCGATTATAACTTTCTGCTATAATCGCATAATGAGTTATCCAGACATTAAGGTGCTATAATAGATAAAGCTTAAAGGTTTGGGCTTTTTTTAAGCTAATTTTTACAAAAATCTTATTTTCGATGTACAAAAACTTAATCATTTGTTGAACTAGCTAAATTCAATATATCATATTCTTTCTATTTTATAGCCTAGATTCATTTTCATTTGGATCAGAAAGTTATTTGTGCTTAGCGGAATTTTCAATAAACTGTGTTTTATTCAAATCTATATCTTATATAACGAATACATTTTGTCGTTTAGTCAGAAGAAATACTAAAATTTGATAAAACGCCAAAACTATGATTGTTTTATGGAACAGACCAATCAAATAAAAATTGCATATACTCGGTTCAAAATCTCTCCACAATCAGGCATATACCAGATCTCGCACCTTCAGATTACTCCTTTGTGGCTCACTTTTTCTCATAACAGGAATGGCAGATTGCAAAATAATTAAAAGGTTGTGACAGTTTTAAAATAATTAGAAAAACAAGCACGCAGGTGATATGATACGAGAATAAGCATTTTTTGAAACTGTGAGCTATTAGTTTAATTTATAATTTAAATAATATATAATACAATTTCATAAGTTTGTCTTCAGTACGAAATAATAGACGATAGATAAAAAACACAGTATAACATAAGATATAATAGAAAAGGCCCTGGAAGAAAAAATAAGTTGTAGGCCGATTTTCCAAAATTCTTATACTTTGCATAAGAATTCGACAATATTCTAAAAGAAAAGATTGTTGTACGAGTCAACCTATTGAATAGGAAGGATTTAATATGAACAAATGGGATATGGAAAGAAATCAAAGCAGGAATTAAGACAGTGGTCTAAAACTCATACACGACAGGGACATAAGTCGCATACATATTTATGTAGATCTAGTGACCGCAAAAGAAAAAAATTCTATACACTAGCAAAGTACAAGAGCAGGCAGCCAATTGCAACTTTGTGATCAGAAGTTATTTAATTTTTATTTAAAGCCTAGTTATGTAGCCCATACCAAATACTTTATTTGGCTTCAGAACGATTTATTCGACAATGGGTCAAAGATGTCAATCGAAAAATATTCAGCAGAACAAATAAAGTGTGGAACGATTTTTCTGGACCAGGCTCAAGAATTTAACAACAGTCTAATATGAAGGTTCCTGTACAAGTACTAGCAGAAATCTTCGCCTGTCCTGTTCAGGAAAATCATATTGATGTCGCAGCAAAAGTGTGAGATGAAATTTAGAAAAATCATTAAGCGATAAATCACAGGTTAGAAATGAGCAATAGAAAAGACAACAGAAAAATGATACAGGATGTAGTAAGAAGAGTGAGAGATGAAATTCAAAAAGAATCATAAGGAGATAGATCAAAAACACTGTATAATAGAAAAGGCTAATTTCATTTTCCAAGAATTTAACCAAAGTCTGGCACAAAGAGTTGTTGTAGTAAGTGTTAATGTAGATTCTCGCGTGTTTTGTCAGGTAAATTAGAGTAATGAAATAAGACTACTAACTGGAAAAGCCACAGAAATGAACGAGAAAGAATAAAACTAAGCATAACGAATGAGTCAACTTTACAAAGGTATTATGCATATCTTCCGTTTACTTCAGTGTTGTTTTATTACCTCATAAAGTTAAATTACAAAGGATAGGGAACATCAAGAATAAACCAGAAGGTTCGACTTAAGACGTTTTAATTTGCAATTATTAATTAATGATGTGGGTGAAGGCTGTTTTGAAATAAAAATAAAACATGTAATAACATTTCATTTGCGTCAGTATATCGTGCAAAACTTTTTCTCCGGCGTCAAGAAAAACTCGTAAAGTAAATAAAGAGAGTTTTTAATAAAATGTCCCAGAGAGTAGTGTTTCTTACTAGTTTCGCTTGTTACAAATTTTGAGGGAATGGAGAAGAAGGTGAAAGGGGACAAATTGACTTTTTATGCCGACCGTAGATTTTTATCCAAGAGAAATATTTCTCCCAAGCGGACTCGCTTTTGGCTTGTTGTAGAAGGGACAAGCAGTAAAAAAGCCGACCGGACGTAAAGTAAGAAAACAAAGTGATTTTTATTTATTCACAGAAAGTAACCTTCAATATCGTTTTTAAAGGAGGTCTCTTTAAACTGAAATTAAGCCAAAAGAGGCGAGTAATTTTCGACAAATCTTTATCGCTCGGGTTAACTGTTATGAGCATAATTTACAGAAAGGTGTTTGAAACTCGGGCAAAACTTTGCGGCCGGTTTTCACCCTCGTCCATTGTTGCCTTTCTTCTAGAAGAAAGTTTAACAGTAAAGTTCGGAAACTTAGTTTTCTTCATTCCATCTTGATTTGCCTCCGCACACCCTTTTCTATTAATTTACACCAATTATATCTGATGTTTATAGTGACAGTTTGACAGTTCATTTTCAAATCTGGTTTTCATGTGTACATGACAAAGATGGCACTATTAGCGAGGGGTTTTCGGCTTTGCTCCCGAAATAAACCCATCACGTCCACGTGTATTCAAACACTTAATTACTACCCTCGCGTCAAAGCTGGTTTTTAATTAAAGGAAGCCGACTTATTAATTTTCAACCAAGAATAAAATATCGGGAGCACCGCGTTTTTTCAGCCGCGAAAAGAGGAATTAATTTCCTAAAAGGGGCTTCTCTTCATTAAATTCAAGTTAACATAAACCTCGGTTATTGTTATTAAAATCCGGCTGACGTAGGGGACGCCTCGGGAACAGTTAAAGGAAATTGCACCAAATCAGACTTTACGACAGACCTTCATGAATGTGCCACATTGACAGAATTACAGTGCCCGTTTTAATCACCTAAAGTCTCCTGGCACCGATTCTTAAATGAAGGGGTCAACGGCATCGGGAGATTTAAGTACATATTATCATTATTCATGATACATTTGTTACACTTTCCCTTAATTAAAGCCTTAATTAAAGTACTCCAGTTAATTTACAATCGCTAATTTAAAAGTTTATAAAAATAAACATATTCTGAACTTAATTCTACTATTGTACAAGTTTTTCTTTATAACAATTACATATTGTCAAATTGTGATAAAATTCGTGGACATAAAAATTAACTCTATGTCGGTCATAGCAAATTTTGTGACAGATATATTATATACCTAACATGTGTACATTTTATAGTTTAAAATAATTTTCCAATGTAATGTGATGGAATATGTATCTGAAAAAACTACTTTTTTTCTCTAACCTTATCTCATTGTTAATATTTTATGTATTTCTCTTTCTCCCTCTCTCTCTTTCTCTCCCTCTCTCTCTTTCTCTCCCTCTCTCTTTAAAAAGTAAAGTTAAAAGAAACTATCTTATACTGCGTTTAAAATGCCGTTAGGTCGTACACACTGTTTTTATAGTTCATCCTTTTCTAAATCTATAAAACTTTACAATAAATTACCTAATGTTATAAAATCATGTAAATCTAAACATATTTATAAGAAATGTCTAAAAGCTTTTCTCTCATTACATTGTGTTCAATCATATTCTGCACAACATCAATAATATTTAAAAATATACGTAGACAGTCAAAAAATTATATTTGTATTATACGAGTTTTGTATGTTGAATTGTGTAAACTTTATTTTTATGTTCGAGTGCTCGTTAAAAGTATGAAAGGGCCATGAGACCTAATTTTGCTTGTTTTTTTATAAATAAAATGTTCAATTCTATTCAATTCTCACTCTATCTCACATACACACTTTCTCTCTTTATCTATCTATTATTTATTTTCTCTCTCTCTTTTATTCGTTTGCTATGTCTCTATCTCCCAATTATCTATCTGTCCATATATTACCAAGTTGATATCCTTGATTTTTTTTAAAACTTTTGTTACTGTTGTTTCATTGTGTAAACTTTATTTTTATGTTCGAGTGCTCGTTTAATGTATGAAAGGGCCATGAAACCTAATTTTGCTAGTTTTTTTTATAAATAAAATGTTCAATTCCATTCAATTCTCTCTCTATCTCACATACACACTTTCTCTTTTTATCTATCTATTATTTATTTTCTTTATTTTCTCTATCTCATTTATTCGTTTGCTATGTCTCTATCTCCCTATTATCCATCTATCCATATATTACCAAGTTGATATCCTTGCTTTTTTTAAACTTTTGCTACTCTCTCTCATGTACAGAAAAGTACACATTTCCTATCATTTCTATCTTTAAGTCACGCCAACCCAACTCAATTTCTTTCTATCACTTTCTTTTTACCAAATTTACTCTTTATTTTTGTATATCACTCGCACTACCCAATGGCTTTCTCTCTTTTTATAATATTATAAATGGCTCTTTCCCCATCTAAATATTCTTCCTTTGACGCGTACGCACATGTTTAAAATTCTTCTCTGACTCTCCTCTCTTTTTTTCGCTTTCTACAACCTCTCGTATCCTTCTTTTTCATGTTTTCTTCTCATTTTTTAATTTTATATTTATAATTGGTTCGGCAAGTTTATGATGCCGTCCAAAATCAGAAATTTAAGCACTTAATTTTTTACCAAATTTTCCTTTGGTGGAGTTTTATTGGAGATAAAACCTAGTGAGTTATTGTGTACAATTCACATATTTTGGGCAGGAAATGATTTACTACGGTATCCATGTTGATCAGGTATTACTTCACTGTCAGTTTGGTTGCTGATACAACAATTATTATCCTATAAATAATATTTCATTTTTTTATAGTTTACAAGGAACATAATATTGTTTTAATATATATATTTTCATATTTGAAGAAATATATTCCAAGATCTGTTTTTTTAAATGGAGCAATTGGCTGTATTTTGATTAAAAGTGTGAAGAGCTATAAATCATCACCCTGTTTGGGACATTTTGATGTTTGAAGGTTATCGCAAGCTCTGCCCATTGATATAGGTTTTTACTTTTCCGACTGGGCGGTATATTTCACAGGAAAGTTAAAATATTCAATTCCTGGATTCGTCGACGGACGTGTTTAGGTCATCTCCAGCCCTCTCCCGATGGCGGGGGGGGGAGCAAAAACGCATGATGAGGGTGAATTGTGGAAGGATGATACACAATGGGTGTTTTCTCATAAATTATTTATAAAACAAGGTTTTTATTCAGAAGCGCGATAAAAGAAGTGGCGAGGTGAATAAATTTAACATTATTCAAAACAATTACCGTCCCTTTCGCGTCCCCTACGATCGCCCTCAAAATCTCGGCTTTATCAAACGCCAACTTTGAAGATTTCATTAGCAAATAAAATTAAAACGGGCCTCGTTTTGTCCGACTTGTACAACTTTTCAGGAGGGTAATTTTAAACAGGGCTACTTTGTGTTTAAATTATGAAAATTAATCGGATCTAAAACTTTTTTATAAAAATCCTTTGACTTTTTTAGTCAAGATTATTCGTGAATAACATCAATCGAGACATCTCTTAAAATTTCCTTTATTAGAATTTTTTTGTACATACATAAAAGTTCTAAGTGACTTGAAAATTTTTCCATTCGTTTATTGGAAATTGTTGTATGGAGTTGTCAAATTGGGGTTTTAAGTATGGGTCAAAAATGTATGGAATACTGGCAGAGTTGGAACTGCAGAACGGGTTAATTAGTGGTTGTTTGAGTTTCGCGGTAGGTAATCTATTGCGTCATTGATGAGCCCTCGACGTCCAACCAGACGTGCCTTCATTGCCACATCGCGTTAATTAATATCTGTTAAATTTCAGAGCCGTCTCGTCGTTAACCTAGTCCTAATTAATTAACTCTTATTTGTTTAGCTTTGGGCAACGGTGAACTCGATGACACATGGCTGTTTATACTGATTTCGTGCAGTGTCGGTGTACTTCTACTCGGCTCTCTTTTGGCTATACTCCTCCTCAAGTGTAGAGAGTAAGTAGAATCAACTTTTTTTAAAACAAAATTAAAAAACTTATAATATTACCAATTTTTATGACTTTAGAATTTTATTACAGTTTTCTTCAGGGCTCTACCGACAATTACAACAACTTATAATAACAATTAGGCTTACAATACAACCTCTAAAAAACTTACCTTATAGTTAATATGTAATATGTTAATTTATTTACCAATATTCCATTAGCTATCATAACACATAACATGTCAACTAGAAGAAAAAATAAAATTCTACAAATAGAGAAACTATAAGATCTCCAATTCATTGCGATTTGTGATGATTTTAAATACTTTGACAGGTTTTAGAAAAAATTGATGGCGTTGCAATCGGAGGAAGTCTCTCTTATGGTTGATCTGATTACGAATGATCTTGATTGGATTCATTTGAGATATAAATTTAATTAATTAATCTTTTTATGGAAGGTTTTGGTTAAAATGAAAAAATCTGTGTCATGTGGAAGATTCGAACCCACGATCTTCGGCTCAATACTCCGCTGCTCTATCATTTGAACTATATTGACTTCGATATACTCGGGCAACAACTCCTCATTCCAATCTAGAACCTTTCGAATTTTCCCTCCATTTTGCCATTTTTTCAAATGTCTCTAATCAGAATTCAATTCTCGGCGACATATGAAGTGGCCACGGGGAGCTGTTAGAGAAGTTGTGCTTCTGTTTACTTATTAAATCCATTATATTTAGTGGTCTATTGACCAAATTACTTCTTTCATTTAATTAATCTTTTTATGTAAGGTTTGGTTGAAATGAAAAAGTTAGTGCCACGGGCGGGATTCGAACTCACGACCTTCGGCTCAATACGCCGCTGCTCTACCACTTGCGCTATCGTAACTTCGATCCATTCAGACACCATTCATTTTAACCAAAACCTTACATAAAAAGATTAATTAATTGAAAGAAGTAATTTGGTCAATAGACCACTAAATATAATGAATTTAATATAAATTTAACATTAAATTTATTAAGAAAGTATGTTGATGACCTGTTCCTCATAATAAAGAGTTCCCAATTGGCAGACATTTTTGATGTATTTAACTCTTATCACCCGTCACTACAGTTTGCCCATACTGGGGGTGTCCTTTCGTTTATGGACCTTTTGATTATTAGAAGGGTTGAGATATCAATCATTACCAACTGGTACCAGAAGCCGTCCAGCACGGATAGAGTGTTGCATTTTGCATCATTCTTTTCAAATAAAAATAAATGTAACTGTTAATCTAATTAGCAGTGCACTAAAGTCAAGTGATGAGTCTTTTCACAAGGATAATGAGGAAAAGATCATTGTCATGCTAAAAATTAATGGTTATCACTAAAGTAATGGTATAATGGTTACCTCAAGACTTTTTTCATGTCAACGACCTTCACTTCATCAAGATTTATGTCAGGGCTTGTGTCATGGTAATGTTTTGACAAAATAGTTCCTGGTCTACCTCAGAACAATCGTATCGTATCAATCACTGTTTCACTTAGGTTTTGTCTGACCTGGGCAGTTTTTACAGAAGATGGAATATACAATATTTGACATTTTCGAGGCAGATCATTACATCTAAGTCTTTCTTCCAATTTTATTATTGAATGAATACATTTTAAAACAATCTTTACATCACTGAGTTTATTCTCTAAAAGTGACCTAATTTTTTTAGAAGCATCATTATTATAAGCATCATTATATAATTTAATAGGTGAAAATCCTCACTCCAAATTCCCACTGTTAATGTTGTTAATAGGACTTTTTCTTTGAGGAATCAACTTCTTAATAAGTGATGTGGGGTAACTATTACTTTTTAGCATGGCGGGGATCTTTTGCTCATTATCCTTGTGAAAAGACTCATCGCTTAACTTGCTCTGTCAATGGGATTAACATTTATTTTCATTTGAAAAGAATGATGCAAAATGCAACACTATCTGTGCTGGACGGCTTCCGGTACCAGCAGGTAATGATTGATGCATCAGCCCTTTTAATACCCAAAAGGTCCAAAAACCGAAGGACACTCCCACTTTCTAACTGATGGATAAACATTAGTGAGGGGTGATAAGAGTTAGATGCATCAATAATGTCTGCCAATTTGGAACTTTTTATTATGAGCAAAAGGTCACACCATTGTCAAATTTATATCTCAAATGAATCCAATCAACAAGTTCATTCGTAATCAGATCAGCCAGAATAGGACAGTGTCTTCCTCCCATTGCAACGCCATCAAGAAAAATAAAACCCGTCACAATATTTAAAATAGCCACAAATCGCAGTTTTGGAGAAGATCTAATCGTTTCTTCAAGGGGATGTTTGTTAAATTTCATTTTGTCTTCTAGTTGATATGTATGTGATGAAACCTAGTGGAATATTGGTAAATAAATTAACATATTATATATAAACTACAAGGTACGTTATTTAGAAGTTTAAAAAATGTTTTATTGTAATCAAATTTATGCAAGGTGTACGTTAACTTCTCTTAATTTATTGTTCTATTGCCTAATTGTTATTGTAAGTCTAAATTGTTTTAATTGTCCGTAGAGCTCTAGAGAAGACTGTAATAAAGATCGAAAGCTTGGCGTGAAGTTGTATTTGTAACTTCTTTGTGACCGCATCCTTGATATACAACAAATTGGTGATATCTAGACGGTCTATTTATCTTACCTTCGTTATAAAGTTACTTATAAATAAGTTCGTTAATTTTATGATATAATTTCCTTCTTAAGTATTTGTGTTATTTTATGTCAAACACAATGCGTTAAAAAGTGTAAAGGTAGACCCAAATCTATTTGACAGTGATTAAACATCACTCAGGTTTTATTATTATTATAACAAAATGAAACTTTAAAAGATCATTATTTTGAAGTACATTGCTCGAAAACAGTCACTAATTTAAAAATTAACATTATTTTATCAAGTTTTTGAACTTATTGTTGACAGTGTTTTATTTTATTGATTATGTATCAATTTGACAGTATAGTTTATTTGACATTAAGCTTGTGAAATAAGCTTTTGACGGACATAAAACGAAACGATACTGCTTCTCTGGGTTTAACCGTCATTAGTCTTTGCTTCACGTAAGCAACCATGGTCATTGGGTAATATACTGATTACTATGATTGAAAGTGGGCTGGTTTTAGTAGTTGAGCGTGGCTACATAAAGTCCAGCCAAAATATGATAAAATAAACTGACCCAAGTCTATTAGATTATTATAGAACGGATTATGAGGGAATGGAGAGATAAATTGTTGGGGATTTGACTATGTAGAATTGCTGGATATGTGGAGTGTAATGATTGTTTTATATGTTGTGCTATATGTTTTGTGTGTTGAATGTATATTATTGATATTGAATTTGATTTATGAAATTAGCTTAGCGGCTGAGTTTACAAATTAAGGCTTTTAGTTGAGATGAAAAAAAGTTAATGGCACGAGCGGGATTCGAACCCACGACCTTCGGCTAGATACGCAGCTGCTCTACCACTTGTGCTATCGTGACCTTTATCCACTTGGACATCAACTTCCTTTCTCAACCCCACCTTCTGAGTTTTCCCTCCTTTTGCCATTTTTCAAATGTCGTGTAATCGGTTTTGATTCCCGACAACAATTGAAATGGCGAGGGAGAGCTTTAGTGAAGTGTACTTCATTTTTTTAAATCATTAATTCACTACTTTCATGGTCCGCTTGACCAGTTAATACATGACAATTAATTAAGGCTTTTATTTGGGATGAAAAAAAGTTAATGGCACGAGCGGGATTCGAACTCACGATCTTCGGCTAGATACGCCGCTGCTCTACCTCTTGACCTATCGTGACCTCGATCCACTCGGACTTCAACTTCCTATCTCAACCCCACCTTATGAGTTTTCCCCCCTTTTGCCATTTTTCATCTCAACTAAAAGCCTTAATTAATTGCCATGTATTAATTGGTCAAGCGGACCACGAAAGTAGTGAATTAATAGTTTATGTTTGTTTTGTACTGTGTTTAATATTTTTGGATAGTTGAAGACGAAATTGTGTCGGTGTTCAAAATGGTGAAGCCAGTGCTGTAGGATTTTATTTGGGATTTTTGCAATCATAGTTATATTGTTTTACCCTCTTATCCAGATATTGGCATGTAATTCCGAAGTAAGTTGCCGGACAATTTGTACAATTGATTTTGTAAATTACATCATGCTTATTTGTTACAGGTGCGAGATCTTTAATTCTGGAAAAAAGGATGTGAATAGTTTTATAGTTTTTGAAGGCTATTTTAAAATTATCAGAAGAAACAAATATGTTTAATTTGTGGGGTAGGCCGTAAGCCAATGGAATGGATGTGTTGATGTTGTTAGTGTTGAGTTTTAGTCGTTGATGATTCTGTTGATTATGTATTTAGGGTAGTGATATGTTTGTATATCTTTATGTTCTTGTGGTAGATTTATGACTTAGGGTAATAATTCTGTGAACGAGCCCTTTGACCTTGTTTATTATTGGATGAATGGTCTTAGCTACTTCGGTTTAACCATAATCTGCTCTCCCATCACCCATTTAAGATAGGATTGCGAGACGATGAATGTTATGAGTGTGATGGTCAGTAGCGCCGACCCAGACCGTTATTCTGGCATGGGCTTGGGTGGGCAGAAACGAACTTTTTCTCACCCTCGTTAGGAAATAAGTCCCCCTTCCAACCAACATGAGACAAGTATTAAGACACAACGACCTACACGTTCTTGGTAATGTCTGCTACATTGTAAACAAAAGCAACATTGAAATATAAGTAGACTACATAAACCAGACTCTAACACGTACTTATTGTATTTATCCACCTTATAGATAGTTAGTTCCTGGTTACCCCTGAGTTTGGGTTTGGTGCGCCAGATGCTTTCCTCTGGTATCAGCAAAGATGACTGGCCAATGCCGTCGGGAAAAGCCAAAAAAAGGGGCTGATGTGATGTAAAGTTGAGGAATGTGTTTCTTGGTTTTTGATACCAATCTGTGATTAATGTGCCAATAAAATATTTATTAACTTCTGTATTATAAGTAGTATATAACTCAGATTTTTATACAACTAACTGCTGTTAAATGACGAAATAGGGGCGGATATGTTCGCAGGGAGCGAGCAGCCAAAACTGTTCCTGTCCACGAGGAAGAGGAAGGAGTGAACGCGAAAAAGGCCTGCGAGGCTGTCATGTATCCAGGTGACTCAAGGATGCTCTGGGCGACCCTCACGCCCCGAGGCACCACCAGGCATATCGCCGGCCACCACCTCAACACCTTCGAGAACACAGGATTCACGGAAGAGTTCCGGCCGAGGGTGTCTTCACCGACGAGGATAGAACACCCGAACCTGCCCCCGCTGAATCTCCCGACTCACCGTACACTGAGGCGACAACCGCCCTTGTTATAAATCGGACGATTCGACCTCACCAAATAGACGACCCGCAACCCTTTCCTTTTTTTTTCTTTAGTTCGATGCCAATTGAAACCAATTTCATATTGTATATTATCCCAGTTTCCGTATCAATGTAGTAATATCCACACATTGTATATTAAGGAAATGCTTCGCCACGACTGTCGGGTTTTTTCATAATTTAAATTTTCTAAACAAACCATACAATCAATCTAAAAAATAAATAAATAAACCAACAATATTTATAATAAATATAATCAAAAATAATGTATCATGCTGATGAATGTGTAACCTGGGAAGTCCTGTTTACCGAAAAGGAAACTTTCTCAAAACAAAGTTATAAAAAAATAATAAATTGTAGGAAATCAAACTTCTCAATTTATTCTTTAAATGTCTAAATATTATTTATCATAGTTTTTTAAGTTTTGGCCATTGAGTTAACAAAATTAAAAATCCTGATCCGTCTGTTACCGCTGTCGGAAATACGCACAAAAAGCCCGGTCTCATGAAGAAGGCGACATCATTTTGAAACAGCGAGAACTGGCGGATCATGTTCTGGGAAGACACAAGACCAGTGTTTTACATTCGTTTAAAAAAATCTTAAATGTTGTTTAACACAGCTATTGTATACAATTATTTAATATGTTTATTTAAATAATTCCTATTGGTTATTCTTTTTATCTAAGGCTTTTGCTTGAGATGAAAAATATGGAATATGGATTAATTGAATAATTAAAACTTCATTAACTCGCCGTGGCCACTTCATAAGGCACTGTCCTGATTACACGGCACTTGAAAAATGGCAAAATGGAGTGAAAATTCGAAAGTTTGTAGGTTGAGGTGTCCGAGAAGATCGAAGTCACGATAGCTCACGTGGTTGGAACATCAGCGTATTGGGCCAAAGGTCGTGGGTTCGAATCCAGCTCGTGACACGAATTTTTCATCTCAACCAAAAACCTTAGATAAAAAGAATAATTAATATGTTCAATTGTGACCACTGAACAAATATGATTTATTTAAATAATGTTTTTAAAAAAGCAAGAAGTACCTTTTATAAACTGGCGTCAATATTTATTTCATTTTTCGCAAATAAACTTAATGTTTAATCATAAATTGTGTGCTTACGGATTGTAACTTTTATTACCTCCTTATAAGCTCAATCTCTATTTCGACCACCAAAAAGTTCCTAAAAATAATCATAATTATAAAACTTATTAAGTACAATATTTGTGACCAGTTTAACACTAGTGAGACAAATTTAACGTCAATAGAAATAACTGTTAATTAAAAAGAGTGTACTTTTGCTTTTAAGCAATTCCAACTCGTAAATTTAATCCTGGCTAGTTGTTAATGCCTTGTAACAAATTCACGATGTTTAAAGTTTGATAAGAGTTAGATACGGCCACGGATGGTTAAAGTGTACTAAAAAGGATTCAGCCCCTAGTGCCATTAGAGGCTATGTAAATAGCCCCTTTCCTTAATTCTAGAGGACAGATTACTTTTTAAAAAGTTTAATAATTCAATAACCTCTATTTTAATTTATATCTCTTTGGATATATTATCGTTTATTTTAATCAAAAAGACTTTGTTGAAAGCTTACATTAATTATTTATTCAAACAGCCATTTAAACCATGAAAAAACGATGTGATAATTGTGGAAAAACTCAGAGAAAATACGTTCGGGGAAAAATTCCAATACTCCTCCTCGCTGCTATACTACCTGGGGGGAGAGATTTGATGTTATTTGCAAACATTTGCCAAGCAAACATATCTCCCGCTTCATTGTTATCTGTTGTATAGCCCGATTGAATTTCCCTGTAACAAATACTAATGTTTGCTTTCAATTTAAATTATGTTATTGGAACATGTTTTGAAGTAAATTGAAATACATTCTATATGTTTGCATCATAACGATTATATTATTACGGCCATTATGGCAATTTAAAACATTTATTGTTTATATGAGAAGTAAGATATCCCAGTGAGTTAAACAGGGCATCCAAGTGATTAACGTTATTTTTTTAATAAAATATATAAACCTTAAAAAAAATATATTATCAAAATTAAACAATTACAACGTGCACTAACCTGTTTTTAAAAACACCCCTTGTGTAAAAGAGACAAACCAATGAATGTAAAATGTGATACGTAAAGTTTAGAATTAATTAGCAACGAACTACTTCTAATTGTTCATGTTTATTGTAAATGTTTAACAGAAAAAACAGTTATAATTTTCAAATGTGCTATCATATTATATACATGTGCTCCCAAATTGAAGAAATAGTGTATTATAAGATTTTACTATTGTTTTGTATTGGTTCGTTTGTTGTATATGAAATAAACCACTGGAGGTGGAAGATTTTAATTGTAAATATTATTGATTTTTATTACGAGGTGAAATGTTTTAGTATGTCTGTAAGTTTTAGCTATATGTGAGTCAGCCCTTGCGAGTGGTATATCGTTACCTTATACTCTATGTTGATGTAGAATATTGAGAATAACCCAATGATATTCGGCTTCCTTTTCTCGCAAGATACAAATTTTTTTCTTTTTTTTGGCAATAAAATTATTCCATCCTCCAGATATTGTATTATTTGAAATTCCCTGTTTTCTTGTGTGGTTGAAGATTTTTCTTAATTTGAAAACTTCAGTTATACTTATTTTCACCCTGTTTACCTGAAGACAAAAGCCGAAACTCCACAAAATCTGTCAATATTTAAAAACGTACATTTTGAATAATAAGAATTGGGAAGAATACCAAATGAGTACTGACTTTTTCGTTAAGCCACTAGGTAAAATTTTGCAGCATAACGTTTATTTAACTTAGTTCACATATTTTATCTAAATAGAATGCATCTAATCAAATAATTACACAAAAATATGTCAATTGTAAAAACTACATTAGTATCAATTTTCACAAATCAATATAATAATCGAGAAAATGCTTAAAATCTTTATTATTACTATAAACAAAAAATTTGTAATTTAATTTTTCAAGTTTATAGTAGAGACAATTCCAAGGGAGGCCGACGTCGTCCAATTAATAAAGATTCGCTCAAGTAATAATTCCCTAATTTCGTGGTCCGCTTGACCAATTAATATATTACAATTAATTAAGGTTTTTAGTCGAGATAAAAAAGTCAATGGCACGAGCGGGATTCGAACCCACGATCTTCGGCTAAATACGCCGCTGCTCTACCACTTGAGCTATCGTGACCTCGATCCGCTCGGACATCTCAACCGCACTTCTTTTTTATCTCGACTAAAAACCTTAATTAATTGTCAAGTAATAGTAATAATATAAGCCCGGGTTTGTGAGACGAGTTCTATTTATAAATTCCCCTTTTTCAAACGCACAGATAACGAATTTTCATGAGCAGATTAATGACAGGGATGAAAAGCAGAATATAAATAGCGATGTGGCAGAAAAGCCAGAAACCTTTCGGTGTTGGTGCGCCCAAAATACCTCATGATATGTATTGATAAGCTTACCTGCAAAGCCCTCTCAAGGGCCTAGAAGCGGGACACGAATAGAAAAGACCTAGTGGTAGTATTGATAAGCTTAGAAATTATTTTAAATTAATTATTCTTTTTTTATATGTAAGGACTTGGTGAGATGAAAAAGTTAGAGTCACGAGCGGGATTCGAACCCAACGACCTTCTGCTCAATACGCCACTGTTCAAATCACTTGAGCTATCGTGACAGGTCGTGAGGTCGTGGGTTCGAATCCCGATCGTGACACTAACTTTTTCATCTTAACCAAGGCCTTACATAAACAAAAGAATAATTAATTGCAAGAAGTAATTTGGTCAATTAGGCCACTAAACATAATGGATTTAGAAATTAATAATATTTGAGCACGTACGATACAGAAAATATTTAAATAAAAGCTCTCCGTTACGGCTTATTTTTACGACGTTGAATTAAACAATATTGAAATATTTAGATTTTGAAAAAATCCACTCACACACGCGCGCGCGCACACACATACACACACAATCATAAATGTAGATATGTAGATGCAATAGGAAAAGTAAATGGTCCCATTGAGTTTGTGTATAGGCTAAACACGCAATACTCTCAGGTTTGGCGGAAACGAAGACCCTTCGCGCCGTGCATTCAGCAACATAAAACTATCAAAATTATCAATAATTAATAACAATCCCACTGACAACTTTATCTGTAAGTGTACTTCAATCCACATTGTAATAATGCTCTCAACATAAAAAGGGAGAAATTTTGACGCTATACGTCTTTAAAATCACACCGAAATATTTGGTTACCAGAACATAAATTTGTACCGTACCCCAATTATATACAGGGTCTCTTTAGATAGATTTCTCTTGGACCAAAGGCGCTATAAAAAAATACGTCTTTAGTATTTTTTAGTCTAGTTTCAGATTTTTACCTTTTTTGGAGAAAAATTATACAGGGTATCTCAGGCCCAGTTAAACTTGAAAATTTCAAATAAGTTCCTATACATAATGTCACATCATTTTAAAGCATTTATTTACGGTGGAAACAATAGTGCAATCGGATTTAAACTTGGACATAAAACGACAAAGTTAGGGCAAAAAGTGTGATAAAAAGTTATTTGGGTTGCTATTTATTAATCACATTTCATGTTCGGTCTCCGTGCCTTGCATATATGCAAAGATTTACTCTTTTTTACTATTTTTCACCGGTGCTCATAACGATCTTTTGCCGCAGTTCTTCAACTGAGGTTGTAGGGTTACGATTGGCGTAAAAATTGTTTTTTAAATGGCCCCACAGAAAATTAAGTGGAGTTAAATCGGGTGACCGCGAATGCCAACAGATCGGGCCATGAGAATCCACCGGAAGTGACGATTCAAATAACGTCTAACCTGCAAAAAATTGTGTGCGGGACATCCATGAAGCTGAAGAATCATTTTTTGTCAGTCTTCTAAAACTTATCTAATAGTGTTGGTAAAATCTCCCTCAAAAAATTGAGGAACATAGCTCCATTTAAGTAATTTTCGAAAAAATAAGGCCCGATTAATTTATTTCCGAGAAGTCCACACCGAACGTTGATGCTGTCAACCACCTGATGATGACAAGAATACGAAATTATCGAATTTTCCTCTGCCCACGTTCGTAAATTCCTAACCGTGGTTGACAGCATCAACGTTCGGTGTGGAATTCTCGGAAGTAAATTAAGCATATAATAAATTAATAATATGACATTAGAAGTAACTTGGATTCATCAGTCCATAGGATGTACGGAAGAACGTTTTCTTCAGCCTCCCACATCGACATTTGTGCAAGGAACGTAAGACGCCTGTGATAACCAGAGTCCCGAAGTCAATGGACAAGATGAGAGCGATACGGTTTAAAATTGTAAGTCGGGAGTACATCGCTAATTTTATTTTTTGGAAAACCTAAAATCCTTCCAACATTTCGGAGAGAGGAATTCGGATTTTTGGGAACATACAGTAAAATATTCAGCACCTCGTCCATATAACGCTGCCGGGTTTTTGGTGACGGAACAGTAACTGATCCTTATCTCCTCATATTGCGAGCAATACGAATAAAACTATTGTGGTTTACTCTGGGGCGATCAGGAAATTTCTGAAAGTACAACTCGACTGCACGACGCGCAGTACTACCACTAAATCAATAAAGCAGTCGTACATA